GCCCTCAGAGATCCCTGTGCCTTAGAGTTCTGGTGATTTGTATCTGTATTGATGCTACGCCAAGGTGTTTGGGGGAGGAGCAGAGATAAGTGCCTGTATTCAATCCACCATGTTGACCAGATTCACTTGTCTCATTCCAAACACACAGATTTTCTGAACTCTTCTCAGACCTTTCCAGTCAGAATCTTTAGGGGGCTAAGTCTAGGCGTATGCATTTTTTAAAAGGTTCTCAGGTGATTCTGATGATGCTGTAACCCACATCTGGGAACGTTACTCCAGCACTCTCCCACTGGCACACATTTGACAGTTATCTTTGAAGGTCCAGTGAACCAGGAATAAGGGAATAAGGGAAAGGACAGGTAAATTCTGAAGAAAGGGTGACTTAAAAAGGGACAGGCCTTGAGTGATTCAGTAGCATACTGGAGAGAGCATGTCTTGCCTGGGAATGTTGGTGCTTACAATTTTCAATGGCGAGCAGGTCAGGCAAGCAGAGGAGCCAGTATTGGAGTGCTAAGAGGACAGCAGGCTCCGTTGGGAGGGATGGTTGTGAGATGGCGTTAATGGATTTGACATCTAGTTTGAAGGCAGAATACACGTTTTCCTTCTCCAATTTTACTTCATCTTTTTTTTTCTTTCTTCTTTTACTTCCTTTATTTTACTTGTACAGATTTATAAAACAAAGGAAACCACATAGTCATTTTGAAAATTTGAAATTTGGAAAGCCCATAAAAAAGCCTTCAAGAAAATTTCATACAAATGTGACTTCTAGTGACTGTATTCATTCAAGAGAACAATTTTCAAAATCAAGGCTGTTTGTTTGAACTGAAAAGAGATATTGCAGCATGTGCAGAATAAAGATAGGTATGATTTCCATATTGCATGTCTCATTACTATCTCAATTTTAGGATTGGTATGTGCAAGTGTTTTGGGTATGAACTGTGGATTAGAGAGAGCAGAGAGTCACAAAGCTAAGGAGGTGGCAGAATGTAGGTAAGGAGAAGAAATATAGATTAAGGAAAAAAGGGAGGGATAGGTATGGTATGAATGAGATGGCACACAGCTTAGATTTCTCTTGAAGCCTTTTCTGGGAAACTATTAAACAGGAAAATGGGGAGGTGGGGGTGGTGGAGAGATGGGGTAAAGCAGGGATTTTAAAGTCATTTTTTACTAATTGCCTAAGGTTTTGACATCCACAGTATTGTATTCATTTGTCCAGCTAAGTAATGTTATTGAAACAAAAAAAAAATTGGTATTTGGGAAAATAAAATACATATACTAAGGACTTATTTATCTGTAGCTAGACAGCTCTGTGGAATTTCAAAAGTCATGGTAGTACCTGGTATAGATCTAAAATTTAATGATAGAAGATGAATCTCTTAAATCCTATGCTAAAAACTTCAGCTGAAATATATATCCCTCCAGGCCCTGTGGGGGTTGCTAGTATTTTATGAAGCCCATGGATCATCTAGACAGGAAATTATTTTCCTTTATTCTTCCATATTCTCCCTACGTTTACAAGATGTAAGGAAATTGCACAGTATATTTGAAATCGGGCAAAACAAAGTGCTTGTTAAATGTGTTGCAATGCAAAGTGATAATTATAACAGAGGGAAACTTTTAGAGTGGATTTGCTATAATTGTTTATAGCAGTTTCAAAATGCAGCATAGATTTTTTGCCAGATTCATTTACTGCAAGTACATTCATTCAAAATTGTATTTCTTAGCAGAGTGCTTGGCATATGGCAGGTAGTTTTTAAGTCTCTTGAGTGAATAGGTAAGAACTGAGAGAATTGTTGGAGAACTAGAAAGATTCTGTTTTCAGAGATTTGAGTTTCTTAAAACACACACACACACACACACACATACAGTGTATCAAACAGTTATATTTTCACCATCAGATCTTTATTTTAAGCTATTTTCTGCAAATATGTAATAACTAATTCACCAACCACATCTGTCCAGATTTAGATTCTTTTTATAAAGATAGAGAAATCCTAAGGTCCTTGGGAAAGATATGCCTTGGTGAAGCAACCCCCAAAGTTGTATTTTGGCTTTATTTAACCATTTAATGCACAAACATTCATTGATTTCATTCATATTGACATAACATATACCACTAAATTTAATATTACAGAAAATTAATTTATTTTCTATTTTAAGTTTCTTTTTTTACATACACGTAGGCTTAGTTTGTGTAATTAATAGTCATTACAAAATAGATATTAAACATTAAGTTTATTATCATATCTGACTACTAAAATGTATTTGTAGTTCAGTATTAAGGTTATTATCTAATGTGAGATCATTTTCAAGAATTAAAAACTAAAAAGTGATTCCTTAATATTGTGGGCATAGGTATTGATGGGAAATAGTATTAAAAACAAAATCTTCTCCCAACCCAGAAATATTCTCCACAAAGGTAGTGCAGAAAAAAAAACAACAAAAAACTTTTATTATTGAATAAGCATTAAACCAGAATGTGATGTGTTATTTATATAGGCAATCAGCAAAGTGATTGCAAAGACAGAAAGAAACCTCACCCTTTTATGTAGCTAAGCAGATGCAACCCATTACATGTGTATTAAAAATAATAACTAGTCCTCAACTATGAGGCCTTGACAACACCATTTGCACACATAATTTATCTTAACTATTTGGTCATTGGGGTGACCATCTGTGTTAGCTAATTAGCTTTATCCAGAGGAAAAACAAACTTCTCACATCTTAATGACAGGAGGTAGATTTGCACCTTGGAGCAATATGCCCACTGAAGTTAGGCTTCCATACTCTCCCATAGAAACTGGGAGATAGGGGTGCAATCCCTCCTTTATTTTATTGAAGTATAATTGACATATAACATATTAGTTTCACATGTTCACCATAACGATTTGATATTTGTATATTTGTGAAATGATCACCACAATAAATCTAATTGACATCTATCACCATACATAACTACAAATTTTTTTTTAAACTTGTGATGAGACTCTTTATTCTTTTAGCAACTTTCAAATATGCAATTTACTATCATTAATTATAGTTACTATGCTGTACGTTACATCCCCATGACTTATTTATTTTTATATCTGGAGGTTTGTACCTATTCACCTCCTTCACCCATTGCAACTCCCATTTCCCCCAAACACCAATCTGTTTTTTGTATTTATGAGTTTTTTTTTAAATTCCACATATTAGGGATAGCATTCAGTATTTGTATTTCTTTGTTTGACTTATTTCATTTAGCATAATGCCTTGAAGGTCCATTCATGTTGTCACAAATGTCAAAATTCCCTTCTTTTTAATAACTGAATAATATTCCATCACTTAAAAAAAATTCATTCAAGGGTACTCTCTCTCAGTTTGCATTTCAAAAAGATAGCTCCCGGTGTCCTTGAGACTTTCCTGGAAAGAAGTAAACTGACAAAACACTGACAGACGACCTACCTAGTCTTTAAAATGATTTATATACATTTCAAAGAGAGGGGAAAGTTCTCAACAAGTTTTCTAAGGCAAATGCTCTCATAAGGGAAATCTCTTTCTCCATCTTCAACGTGGAGAATGAAGCCTCTTATTTTAAAATTTGCCTTTACAACATATTTGAGGTTCTTTGACTTTGAAACAGTAGACAAGAAACTTCCAAATTAAAATTTTGTTTTTCTATGTGTAGGGCTTTTACGACTGCCAGAAAAATAACCCTGTTTAGAAAAATATATTCACCCCTCTTTGGCTCCCATGTAATTCAAAAGTTTGAAAGGGATGTAGGGTGGAGATGGGGTTGGCTGAAGTTAGGTTTGCTCCAGGCAAAGAATGTGGCTCAACCGAAGTACATGATACAATCAGTGCCTTAAAAAGTCGGCTGCAGGATCACACCCTTCAATAGTGACTAATACCTATCATACTGTTACAGATCACCTAGTTATCTTTATGTAGCTCACATTACTCACTGTCCACTAAGTTCTTTTGGTGAAGGACACTTAAGAAACAGCCCTCACATGCAGAGCAAACCAATTTGGGTTTTTCGGGAGTTCTAGAATCTCCAAGAGGTAAGGGATTATTATAAGCACCATTCACAGGACCTGCTGTACGCTGTTAAACAGCATCTATCATAAATCCAGCACTGAGTGTCTTAACTTTTTAATTTTTTAAAAGACAGTCTCAGGCACTGGGGACTACAGGAATGAGAAAGACACAGTCCCTGCCTTTCAGTGGATTCAGAATCCACTGGAGAAGCAGAAAACCATTCTAAAGGAATCAGCGTTACAACGGACGCAAATAAAATGTACATGGAAAAGCGACTGATTCCGAGGGTGAAAAATGCGTATTTAGAGGTGGGGGATCCGCGTTCCCAAAACAGCTTCCGTTCCCGCAGATACCAGCTCCCGGGATCACGCAGCACCCCGCGGGAACACTGAACATTTTAATCACGCCACCGCCCCGACTCTACGGATTCCTTTCCGATCCGCCGTGTAGTCCCTTCCAGGCCGCCCCAGCTTATCATCTCCCGGCCCGGCCACTTCCCGGCCGTGGCCAGGCGACTCTCCCAAAGTTTCCTGTGACGCCGCCGTCCGCCTCCGGCCCATCCCGCCCTCACTCCCACCCCGGCAGCCCCAGACACCGGTACAGAGGAGCGGGTTACAGGGACCAAGAGAGCAGCATAAACAGGACCTCGAGACCCCGCCCGACCCCGGGAGCGGGCCAGAGGGCGGTGGCCGCAGCGCCACACCTCCCCTGGCCGCGCCCACTGCCGGGGGTCCACGCGCGCCCACCCGGCCTCGAGCCCGAGCCCGAGCCCGAGCCCCACCCCTCCGGGGCCCGGGCCAATCGGCCGCGCCCCGCCTCCTGGGAGGTGGTGGAGGAGGGGGTTGGGGGCCGGACGGTAGCGCCCGCCTTCCCCTCGTGCCCATTGGCTGAAGCTTCGAGGGTGCCCGGAGACCGGAGTGCAGCTGGATTGGCCGCAGAGGCTTCTGACAGCGGCGCCCATTGGCTGTGGCGGCCCCCGTGACGCGGGGTGGTGACTGGCTCCCGTGTCTGAGGGGCTCCTGCTTGTCAGGTTCTAGGTAAGTGAGTTTCGCGCCGCCGGCGGCGGGCGCTGTTGCCCGGGGCAACGCCGGGGGTGGGGGGAAGAGTAGGGAAGGCCGTCCGAGAACGGGGGCAACACTCCCTGCCCGTAGAGGGGCGCCTGGGACTCTGCCCTGGCTGCGGCGGCTGCGCCGAAGGCTCTTCCTCCGCCCTCAGCCACCCCCCTCCCCCGCCCCAGGCTGCGGGGTCTCCCGCCCGTCCGCCGGCTGTGGCGGAGCATTCCTGCTCGGGGCTTTGGCCCGGCTGCCCACTCGGCCCGCGAGGCCCGCCTCTCGCACCCACCCGGGATGGGAGGCTGAGGGGGCGGGTGCCACGGCCCCGCCCCGTCGCTGGCTCGGGGGGCTGCAGGGTGTGGGGCGGTGCAGGGGGTACTGTGGGCACTGCCCATCACGCCTGCACCCCCTTCTCTCCGTGCGCTGCTCCTGACGCGGCCCTCCGGCTGTGGGGGCTACCTCCGACTCCTAGGTGTTCTACCAGTCCCTTCCTGCCGCCGGGGCTCTGCAGTCTCCCGTGACCCCCGCAGCCCGACCCCAGCCTTCTCCTGTAGGTCAGCTTCCCCGCCTCCTGCTTTTATCCCCTCTCCGCCCCGCCCTCCTCCTATCCGTGCTCCGGTCTTGGCCAGAGGTGACCTGGAAGAGACAGTCAGGAGATAATAAACTGTTAAATGTGAAGCTAGTGCAGCTGGGGCAATTTCTGCTCTGTTCTTACTTTGCTATTTAGGACTGAGGAGGTGTTTGAAGACACCTTTGGGTCAGCTTTCTGCCTTAAAGTCTCCCTTAGTATGAACTTTCTGAAACACGCTCCTGGGGTTGCTATTAGTCCCGCAGGGGTACTTCGTGCACAAATTAAGGACTTACCTGTGAAGTTGTCACTTTTTACTATGTACATTTGTGATATTTTCTAGTGTTGCTCAATCCCAAATATAAAAATTTATTAAGGCTGCTTCGTTTTTCGTTCGCCTTAATGTAAAAAAAATTAAAGCCTTCATCTTTTCGCAAGAAGCTGCGTATAATCATAGTTGGTGTGACTGTCACTTTGACAACTACTTTAAAGAGGGTAGTACCATTTTTCTCTTTCTCCAGGTATTTTAAGATAAAAAATTTCTTTAATGGAGTCACTATATATAAACGTGTAACAGAAAAATCAGTAAGAATAGACCAAAACTATTTTAGACTAGAAAATACTTTTCAACCTATGGAATGGGAACGGGATTTAAAAAAAAATGTTGCAAAATGTAATTATTTCACTAGTGCAGTGTTGTAGTCCTGGTATACCTATTTGGTCTTTTTGAAGACATATTTGTGAAAAGCCACACGTTTGTTAGTCAGTACAAAGGAAGGCTGAGTGTACCTTTTGTAATCCAGGAAATCTTTTCTGTTAGTACTCTCTAGCCAAGGGAACCGTGCTTACAAAGGTATTGGGGATATATTAAGAGAGTACACAGGTGTATATGGAAACGTTTTCTCTTGTTTTCTTCCATGAAAGACCTTTGGTGAAAATCTATTTGTCTTCTGCACTGATGATCGGCAGCATTAAATATATACCGTGTAAAATTATTTAGGGTACAGTTAATGCAGCTTCTGCACTACTTCAAAAGTTGATGTCTAGTTTGGAAGACATAATCCAGGCTTTTGATAGACAGATTACTTTCATTTCATCTTCACCTGTTAGGTAGTTATAACTCTGGGACCATTTCAAATTTGCCATTTTCTTTTCCTCCAGTATTTCACTATGAAACATTTCAAGCAATGCAGAAAAGTTGAATTGTACAGTTACCTCCCAACTACCTACACAGCAATAACATTTTCAAAACAGTTGTTACATGGTAAATATTAAGGAACAGCGGAACTGGAATCATCAAGTTTGAAAACCAGCATAAATATATATTATACCAAAACATTTTAAGGTGCTTATTTCCATTTGTAGATGGAAGTAGTGTTTATAAAACCTATAGTAATTTAGTTCCATGAGACTATTATAAAGCAGTCTTGTGAATGAGCAGGAAATCATCTTAGGAAATCAAGGCCCAGATGAGTAAATTACATTTTGATAATTAGAAAAAAAAATCTAATGAACTTGTTATACAAAAGTTTTATTTTAAAATTGGACTCCTGTGTCCAAACCAGATTCTAGTTTTGTATTTGATTTTAAAATGAGCATCTTTTTTTGAAGACAGGTCCAAGGGACTATGCAATGTTTTGTAACATATTTAATAAATTAGATAAACCTAAATATAGTGTTTTGGAATAAGAATGTATTTTGGTAATGGAAGGAGAAAGCTTGCAAATGTGAACTTGGTAAATAGAACTATTTAATGGAAAATGAATTACATGTAATTATCTAGAGATTTAAGTCAGTATTCTGATAAGACTCAGAACTTTGTTGGATGTTGTTTCATGGTGTTGCTAAAGGAATATTTTAATACAGAACTTCAGTTTAATAAAAGAATAAGAAATGGCTGGAAGTTCGCATATTTACATATATTTATTGTGTTTGTAATTTCTCCATAGTTAGGAAGTTTCTGCACTCTTCAAGTATTTGAATCCTGCCTTTCAGTTTTAGTTTACCCTCAATCTGTTTTTCATACTTACCTCATTTTTATAATTAATTTCTTAAATATTGCAATTAAGAGCTATGTCTCAGAATTTATAGATATTTGGATTACCTCGTTATTGTTTTTCCATCTCATTTGACTTTCGCATGCTTACGTATGGTTAATGTATCACATCACAGAGATTAAAGGAAACAAGCAGGTCAGCTTTGGAACTTTGGGAAGACTAAGATGTTTAGATATTTTTTAATCAAAGCTCTAGGTCCCCCCTACCCCATCCGTTCCCTCCCTCCCTTCCTCTTTCCTTTTCTTACTTTCCTATTTTTATTATAAAAATTAAATGTTTTAAAATCAATTCAGTAAAATTATCAACAAGAGAAATCACCAACAATTCCATGATAGTTAATGCTTTGGAAAATGACAAACTTGTTTCTTCTGTAACACTCCACCAATCATGGCAGTTTTATGGTGTTCATTGCAGCATATCTGCACTTGGATCGAAGCTTGCAGGAGTTCCTGAACTTGAGACTCAGTTACCCTAAATTGAAGAGGGCTCCAAGATCTGGATGAAAAATGGAAATGAATAAATAGAGGACGTATTAGAGTCAGAATGAAAGAATCAGACCCAAGCAGTTATGTACTTCTTATTTCATAAGTATGAACATAATAATCATTACCCAAATGAAACTGCTTTATGGCTGACAGAATAGGGGGCCGCTCAAGTTTTTTCTTTGGGATTCAAAATATCTAGGCAAGATGAAGTTTACGTAGTGCCTTTCTACAAAAATTTTCAGATTTCTTCATTTTTGCATTATTACATACGCAGCTTCTTAAAATGTAATGTCATGCGTAATTTATAATTATTTCTTAAACAGTCATATGTACTGATGAAACCAGTAATTTTTAGTCTATACATTATCACCACTTGCTATAAGCTTGATATTGTCTCCTCCTTCAGAAGGTTTTGATTAAAAGACTGGCAATTTTAATGTAGGTTTTTCTTGCTGGGTCACAAGGTGTAGTGTACAAAGATTCTTTTTTTTTTTTGAGCCAGATAATCTGGATTTCGTTAGAAATCAGGATTTTCATATGTGGAATTTTGGGCAAGTTACTTAATCTCTTTAAACCATAGTTTCCTTATCTGCAAAATAAGGATGATAAAATTGCTTCACAAGATTGTTATGAAAAAGAAATTAGACAATCTAGGTAAAAATGCCTGAATTTAGGCAGTCCTCAATTTCCATATTCAGTTCCTTACATTATAGTTTTAATTTTATCTCTTGTACTATTACTATTTGTTTTACCATCCTAAAAGGCCCTATATTTTAGACTTAGGAAATTAAAATAATGTACATTAAGTTTACTTAAATTGAATGACATTTGCATCTGTACAGATGGAGCAAGTAATTAGTTCTTTTATAGTTCTTCACTTCCTGTATCTTAGTAGGGATAATCAGAAATTTAAGTGCATTTTACCTTAAAATATGTCTAGTTTGTCTGAATTCCTGAATTATTTTTCTTTAACCTTAGTAATATTATCATCTTTGTTGGATGCTTTCCCAAAATTCTTTTCATTTAAACCACAAATATTTTCTTAAAAGTGGTACAGAAAAGCTAAACATTACTTTCTTAAGTCTCTAACTAGTGTTCTTCCCCAACTTAAACTACTTTTCCTTAATCTGTTTAAAACTTAAACTATATTTTCTAATGTAATAATAGGTAAAACTCTTAGTTGAATATTTTCTGCCTCCTTCTGATGTATATGATTGTTTTTTAAGGAGGATTTCAAAATGTGTGTCCTATAAGTACAGAGTTTTAATTTTTAAAGAATGCACACTTTTTATTTATACTTTATATATAAGTTTAATCACTGACTTCCACACCTTTCAACAAATATACTTAAAAATTTTTTATTTTTTTAAAATTATAATTAGTATATATTATGTTAGTTTCAGGTGTATAGCATAGTGGTTAGAAATTTATATAATTTATAAAGTGGGTTCCCCGATAAATCTAGTATCCACCTGACACCATACATAGTTATTGTATATTCCCTATGCCATCCTTTACATTCCCATGACTATTTTGTAACTGCCAATTTGTGATTCTTTACCTCTTCCTCACCTCCCTACTCCAAACCCTCCCCCCCAAATCTGGCAGCCATCAAAATGTTTTGTGTGTCTATGAGTTTGTTTCTGTTCTGTTTGAAGAACACACACAATTTAAATGCACAGACCAGCCTATAGTTATTGAGTGTTGTGAAGCAAACACTGAACTGAGTGAAGAGTTAGGAGTTGAACCAGATAGTCCTTATTGACTCACCTAGCAGTAAAACAGAGATTTTATCTAAGTCAGTGATTTTCAATTTTTTTCTCATCTAGTACAAGATACTTACATGTGTGACATATACCAATGTGCAGTTTCCTC